ACAGCTGGGAAGGAATTAGTCCCTTCTATGTGCAGCTGCAGATGTGGCACTTGTAACGACTAGCCCATGTTCACATGTTCTATTCCTTGCCCGAGGGCCTGTGTTCACTAAGGCCCTGCTTGCATTCCTGCTTGCAACTTTCGGGCGGGGCTTGGGAACTCCTAGCCTGTTAAGCTTGGTCCTTTGGTGAGATGACATGTAAGCGCAGCGTCCGTGCTGTGCATCGGTAGGACTCACTGGGCCACAGCGTGTAGTCCGCCCGGCCAGAGAAATAAAACTGTGGATGTAAAACTTGACGTGACATATATACCGCCTACCCTAACACCTTTTCGTCAAGTGATTTAAACATGCGCTGGAAGGCCAAGGCAGGCGCGCTACAGCAAAAGCCGGCTATGAACCTATTTTCATACTCCTGCTGACTCCTTGCGCGGTTGTGTGACACAGGAAACAGTGCGGACAAAAATGATTTGGCAAGCGCATCGTCCGGACTCTCAGCTTGCAACCCTGCATGGCAAGTTAAAAAACAAGCTACACATGCACAACCCTTGGACGCGTTTGAGTTGGCATCTGGGCCTTGATGTGGCGGTTCTCTGACATACCAAGATACCCGTATTTAAGGAGCAGAAAAACTCATGCCACCAACTTGTGAATCACCAAGCCAGTTTTGAAGCTGGTTGTGAAAAATGCCCCAAAGCCAAAGATATGTAGAGTGCTGCGCAGGTTCTACGGAGTGCTGTAGAAAGAAGTTTCTGACAGAGTGCTGTCAAACGGGCGCGGCGGCGAGGAGTGGTTTTTGACTTTTCTAGATGAGCAAGTTCATGCTGCATAAAAATCTGGAAACCGATGGTCCTAGAAGAATGTTGCGGCGGAGCGCTTTGCAAGAGCGTCTTGCAAAACTTTTTGCCGCGTGGTTTTTGGGCAAGGCTGCTTGAAAGTCAATGAAGTGCTCCAATTTGCCCGTTCTGTTTTGATGCCCGGTTGCTTAGAGCCCCGCCTTCGACAAGCTGATACTCCAGCAAGCAAGGCCCCACTGCGCCGTCCACATCCATGCTCCATGTGCTGCCGGAAATGGCTAGATACAGTATGTGTCTGGCCGCCAGAAAACTGGTTTGGATTCGGGATTTTTCAAAATAATTCTTACACAAAGGTTTCTTGTCTGATTGCCTCTAACGCCCGGAAAAAACGTGTCCAGAAAGTGAAACACTTCTGCAATAGTAGGTGTGGTATCCCTGCTTGCATCCTTGTGTGTGCGTGCATTTCCTTGTCAAACCAGTAGTACTACCGCGCAAGGCGGTGGCGGAAGTTTCCAAAATAGGCACCCTATAGGCCTATAGGAGAGGTGAGTTGTTGTGTCTCATCGATGGCAAGGCAAACTGATGGACCGAAAGGTGGCTCTGGCTCTGAGTCTCTCTGTTCTCTCTGTTCTGTCTGTTCTCTCTCTCTTTCTTTCTATCGCTCTATCCCTCGATTTCCCTATCACACTCTCTCTTTCTTTCTATCGCTCTATCCCTCGATTTCTCTATCACACTCTCTCTCTCTCTCTGTCTGTAATTCTCTATCTATTCACCCACCTAATCTATCAATCTATCTGTCTGTCTGTCTGTCTATCTGTCTATCTGTCTATCTATCTATCTGTCTATCTATCTGTCTATCTATCGATCGATCGATCTATCTGTCTATCTGTCTATCTGTCTATCTGTCTATCTGTCTATCTGTCTATCTATCTATCTAATCTAATCTAATCTTATCTTATCTATCTATCTATCTAAACATGTCTGCTGGATATGTCTCTTGTACTGCGCGTGTCGCACAAAAATGCATAAAATGTATCCTGACGCATCCTCTTTAAGCGCCTCATGCTTGCCAT